TTCGAAATAAATTAATGATTTCGGATTAAAACAAACATATACAGGTTCTTTACTCGTATTATTAGTTTCCGATGATTGAGTTGTCGTAAAAATGGATTGAAAGTTCTAGTGCTCACATTATTTGATAAGTGTCTTTTTAGACTTGCTTTTAGCCCAAAATGTTGAAATGTCACGTAAAAGTATGTGACAAATTGAGAAACTTTTTCCCCCATCCATTTGCCTTAATAGGAACACGTGACCTGAACTTGGACTTCCAAATTCCCTAATACCTTGGAATTTTACTATTTATGATGACAAAAACACTTAGTTCCCTTAACTAAAACCACAAAAAATTAAAAAGGAAAATTCAATAGCATCGAAAAGGTGTAGACGAGTTTTGACTACAGAGTTGAAACTATTTATTTACTTAATTGTTTATTAACGAAAAAATAAAGTCGAGAAAGAGTTTAAAATGAGTACGTTTTTTTTTTAAAATTCTCATTTAATGACTTTTAAAATATTTTAAGTTGAATTTGTGGTTTCAAATATGTCATCAAAATAGACTTTTTGGCTTTAATGGGTTTCAAATGTATGGATAGGCTTTTTTTTTTTTTTTTAAGATTCATTACGGTAAAGCTGAAAAAATTTATCGATACAACACTATAACAAATTTGACTTAAGATAATATACTTTTTATATTTTTTAAAATATTTTTTTAAATCTAATTTCACCATATAAATTTTTAAATATATTATAAATAAAATGTAACGATAAAAATTACATACATTAATAAAAGTTGTATTTTTTTATATTACTATTAAATGTGAAAAAAAATACTAAAAATTTAAATAATTGCACTTTTTAAAATTTTACTTTACAAAAAAATATATTGTCTATGTGATTAAAATTAATATTTTTTTGTAATGCGACTAAACCACCCTCTATACAATAGTTTTTTAGCAAACAAGAAATAGAAGACAGTTCTGTCAAAATATACCAACCTTAAATTCATTTTCAAAGCTCATGAATATAAATCTTCTTTCAAAATTATCAAACCGAATTTACGAACAAAGCGTGTTTAAATTTAAAACGGATAATTAAGTTTGCATAGTCATTACAAATTTGAATGAGCCAACGATCGAATTAAGAATGAAATAGATTGCAATTTATGAGATTAATTTTCTGTTTTCTCACTCAATCCATCTTTGCTTAGAGTTAATTAAGCCTGCCTTGCTCAAAAGGTCATTGAAAGAATGGTTTTGTTGATTATAGCAAGGCAAAATAATAATAATAATAATAACAATTAAAGGCTATAGGCTTGAGGCATGGCTGCAGCCAATCAGTACTAAAGTCAAAACATGCAAAAGAAAACTTGGGGTTCACCCTAATTTGGTTATAATTAGGGATTAGGTGGCTAATTAAGTTTAATTCAAAGCCATACTTATTAATTACTTTACAGCTAAAAATTATACCAAAAACCTAGTCTCCCAGCTTTAAAAAAAAAAACCCTAAAACCCAACAAAAAAAATTTGTAGCTAATTGGGATTTTAACCTTTCCATAATCAAAGGCACCCTATTTTGACCATAATTTACTCATATAGCTAAGTCTTGTGCCCTTATAATTATAAAGAAATATAAAAGTAAAGTAATCTAATTTGACATAATCTCGAAAAAGGTCTATATCTTTTTGACAATATTAAGTACTACAAGTGAGTAATTTTCGGTTAAAAATCGAATAAATTCGATTAAAATTATTTGATTAATTCAAAAATGAATACAATTAAATTGATTAATTCAAAAATGAATACAATTAAATTGATTAATTTAAATGGTTAATTCGATTATATATATATAGCATTAATTTAACTAGAAAGAAGAGTGTCCTAGGTTTAGAGAGTTGTAATTATGCTTTATAAATAGAGAAGATAAGATTTTTGGGTTTGTATAAAAATACACGAAAATGCCAAAAAAATAGGTTTGAAAAAATGAAGTCATGGGCCAATACTACACGAAAGTTTATTTAATTTTTGATGTAATCAATAATTATGAGTTAAAAATAATTATAAAGAGAAATCATAGCCAGAAAGTCCAACTTATACTGACGTTTGCAAAGCCAAAGATTTTTTTTCCCTTTGCTTCTTTCTTGGCATGCATGGCTCGTTGAAAGATTAGTGTTCCCTAAGTGAAAGAATTGTTCACAATTCTTACTACACAAATCAAAGTAAATTTATAGATTTAAATACTTTTGATTTAGCTAAATATCAACGATAATTTTTATTAACGAAAAACGTCATCTTTGACAAATTCGTTGATGATCAAACTATCGGCAATTAAAGACGGTGTCAAGGGGTTAACATATGACGATGATCGGCACCTCTCAATTTTTAATTTTTTTTATTATTATAGTTAAGTATATAACGTTATATAATATAATTACCCTTTCGAAACTTTTTATTCAAAATTTTGAATTCACTATTTGCAGTACAAGGAATATATTGAAAATTTTCAACTATTGAATTGTGTTTTTAGAAATTCGAACAAAATGTTAGACTGCATTACAACAAATTCATCTACAGTATAGGGAATATATTGAAAACTTTAACTGTTTAATTGAGTTTGTAGAAATTCAATCAAAATGTTCAATTGCATTGCAACATGAAGTATATGAACACAATGGGTCTAATTTTCTTCATTTTTTGTCTTTTTTTTTTTTTTGCCTTTTCCAGTTCCATTTGATTTTCCACACTATGTGGGCAACAGGGTTCCTACCTAATAGGGAAAAAAAAGTTTGAGGTATAAGTTAGGTAAAATGCTAATCTCATTTGGGGTTACTTTCAAGCCACACCCCTTTCATTATTTCTGCTATGAACAGATGAAGCTGTTCATGATAAATGTGATAGAACAACTACTTCAGAAATTATTCTAACATTATTAAAAAAGAGAAAAGAAATTCTGGGTATCTTGTATGACTTTGACTAGTTCATCACATCATATACTATATGTTGTTTTCATATGCAATCAATCAAGGTTTAGCAGCTTCTTCTTCATCATCTTCTTTTTAAATTTTCTATCTGATTTAATTCAGTCAACATTTCCAAATTTGATGATGGGGAAATGAGGTATGATCAAAAACTTTGACTGAAACTATTGTTCTTTCAACCTGGCAATGATCTTTCTGCCAACCCAAAACGTGGAAAGCTTTGATTGGGATTATGAGTTTAAAGAAGAAAGGTTGCAGACTTTGAAGGGAAAAAAATAAAAAGAAATGGGGAAAATGCCAGGGTTGAAATTTTGGGATAGACATTGGCAGAGAGGGAAAGACAAGAAAACCCCACAATTTTTCTTGATCAGATTGATTGGCAAATTGGATTCTACTATGAAACTTTGATTGGGAAAATGGACTCAATTATCAATCTTTGATTGGGAAAAAGGATTCAACTATCAATCTTGGATTGGGAAAATGGATTTCAAACTATCATAGCCATGAGTTTCCAAGTAGTCCCTTGTAAAATCAAAGTGTGAACAAGTGAATTTCCCAAATTTGTGGCAATAGAATGAACATTGGCAGAGAAGGAAAGACAAAAAAAAACCCATAATTTTCTTAATCAGATTGATTGGGAAATTGGATTCAACTATCAATCTTGGATTGGGAAAATGGATTTCAAACTATCATAGCCATGACTTTGCAGTCAGTCCCTTGTAAACTGAAAGTGTGAACTAGTGAAATTTCATATGCCAGACTTTGTGGCAATAGGATGAACATTGGCAGAGAAGGAAAGACAAAAAATCCCATAGGTTTTCTTGATCAGATTGATTGGAAAATGGATTCAACTATCAATCATTGATTGGGAAAATGGATTCAAACTATAATAGCCATGAATTTGCTATTAGTCCCTTGTGAAATGAGTGTGTGAACCAGTGAAAATTTTCATCTCCCAAATTTTTGGCAAAATTACCTTGAAATTCAATCAGCAAGAACCCAGCTAGGCGTATACCTAGTAATGGCACTTTCCTAGGGCATAGCTCACCCAAATTGTCCTAGGCTATTGTGAAAAAGATTGGGTTTTCTCCGATCATGTCTTGGCATGACAGCTATATGTAGTTTGACAATAATAATAATAATGAATTCCCATGCTCAAATTCAATCCAAAGTTCCTTTCATTTTGAAGCTTTCTATGTGCTCAAATTCAGCCGAAATCCCATTTTCCTCCCTACTATTATTTTAATTGAGTCTACAGTTCCCAAATAGGGTGGAATTCAATTCCCATTATGAAAAATGGAAAAAGAAAGGAGTTTGATAAAGTCCATTCCCTTTCCCAAATAAGTGGGAAAAAGACTTTCCTGAGAGAGATTTTTCTTGCAACTAATAGCTGGAGCACCCGAATATATAAAATAGATAGTGTTAGCTGCCCCAAGGAAAATGCTCTCTTTGATCCATTGATTTGATTGATTTAAATTATGATGGGACAATGGAGTTTGGTTTTATAATTTCCTGGAAGAGTCAAAATAAGTTTTTGACTATGTTGGCCTACTCTTAATTCCCACCATCTGAAATTCATGTCCTTTGCTTGAGATTTCTCCCCAAGAAATTGGGGAATTTTGGGGGTTATCTTAAGCACTAGATTCAACTTTCCAACAAACCTAGGGTTTATGTTTTGAAACTTTCAATTATAAGATGAATTATAAGCGGAGTTGATTAGCATTTGGTTTGCTTGGTTTAGTTCAAGTAATTAGGGATAGTAATGGATATTTTGTAATCCAAGATCCTGTATTATCCAACTTGATCTAGCAGTTTAGTTCAAATAATTAGAGATAACAATGGATATATTATAATTGAGCATTCTGTGGTATCTGACTTGATTAAGTAGGATTAAAATATCTTATAATCGAGTTTGAATAATAAAAATATTACCTGCCACGAGTACAAACATGGGTTTTCTGGATTTTTGTAAGAGTATTCAGAGCACACCCTGATATCATGCTCACTAAAGGTCCAAGGAGCAATCCGAGGAACAATTTAATGACATTATATTAGCAAGCGATTTGAATTTGATTAAAGAACTGGAAAGTGAGATCAGGAACTCATCATTTAATTCAGGGGAATGATCTGTTAGATGCTTGTGGTAAGGAAAACAGACATGACAGCTATAAATTACAAGGTTGCCATCAGCATAGCTCGAATTTTGGCTCTTAAATCATCGGAAACCGCAGTGGTTTCAGATGGCAGAGATGGAGCTCTTCTTCCCTCTGCATCTGGTTTTGATATATCCGCAGAAGTTTCCCTACTGACACGATTGCCCTCACTCAATTTAGATTGATCTGATTTTGCACATATCTCTCCTTCCTCCAATTCCGCCTCTCTTCCCGAGTGAGATCTCTTCCTTCGATGTCGGTGCTCATCGTCGGAGGACCTATGGTGCTTATGCCGATGTCGAGAGCATCGATCCTCATCCTCAGAGGAGCTATCATGCTTGTGATGATGTCGATAGTGTCGAAGCTCATATTCCTCAGGGGAATCGTTATGCTCATATGCAAATCTTGACCGCCGACGTACAGCATCTGAATAGCTATCTTGCTTCCATCTGTGTCGAGAATGATGATGGTCACTGTCAGAGCTGTCTGAGTTATGACCTTGTTCATCATCAGAGCCCTTATGGTGCTTATGCTGATGTCGAGAATCTCTATCCTTTGAAGATGAATGCCTTCTTCTATGCTTATGTTTATCCCTACTATGGTGTGAAGAGTGATGATAATGCCGCTTTTTACCTGAGTGCTTGTGATCCCTTCCTTTCTCTTTTTCTTCTTCTTCTTCTGGTTCCTCCTCCTGTCTGCTATCTTCTTCATGTCTGCTTGATCTCGAACGGTACTTCCTCTTTGATCGCCGTTCATTATGATCACTGCCTGAATATATCTTTTCATGATTTTCAGTCTTATCAGAAGTGGTAGCATCCAATGGAACTGAGCTTCCTTCCCTTTCTTTTCCCAAAAGACTTCCACCCTCCACACCTGAACCAGAAACCCCCGACTCTGGTGGTTCAGCAGATAAGCCACGCAATGGTTCAGTTTTAAGTGGTGCAGCACCACTTTTTATCATGGCTGCAAACATCTTTGCCCGTTTCAATCTCTCAGCTTTCAACTTTTCTTCTTTAGACAAACACGCCTCAGAGGAATCAGCCTCACTTGCAGCTGCCATAGCTGCTGTCTTTGCAATAGCATTGGCAACAGGACCAGAAACACTTGGCTCGCCTTTCTGCCCTGGCTTCTGGTTGGAATTCTGAGGCTGAGATGAAAGGAGACCACCCAAACTTGGGGCATGCCCACCCTCACTACTAGGGGCCTGGCTGCTACCATTTAAAGATGTCTTAGATAGAATTTCTAAATTGGGATTCTTAATGCCTCTTGTAGCAGCCTGAAGAATAGCAGCTGCTGCTGCTGCATCCACACTAACTCCGATTGGTGGCTGGGTAGCTTTGGAAGGTGGATCTTGTCCGTCCTTCTTTGGCTTGCTGATTACCATTTTAAACTTCTCTTTCCTATCATAATCATACGGTATGTCAGATCCAACAGGCACACTATCACTTTCTCGGGATGAAGCAGCTTTCTTCTCTATGCCAAGGCTGGACAAATCATGCTTCTCAGAAATGAATCCTTTACCAGGTAACTTCGACTGCACACAAACAAGAACCTTAACATCAGCAGAAGAGAGAGTGACAAATTACAGTAGCTCAGCTTTGAAGAAAAAACCAAAGAATTCGCTTTCATGATTTGATCAGAGGTAAATCGCAACATCTGATGTGAATGAATATGCAATATAAAACCAATTAAATAAAAATGAAAAAATAGATAGAAAATCAAAGGGATAACTACATAGATAAAGGAAACAATACTTTTGCACAATAGGAAACATATGGAACAATATAATATTCCACATCATATTCAACCTTTTTCATCCGATGCCAAGCCAGAACCCAACAATATGTCTTAATCTCATGAAAAACAGAAACGTTATGCAGAACATGGTAAAGTGAGAACCAAACCTTTTCAGCTTTTTGAAGAACTTTTAGATAGTAAGGATGATATAGATTGGATTGCAACAGGAACGGAAACCTGCCATGCTTAACATCTTGTTCAACCAGAACTGCTTCAAACTGCCGACCATTTTTTAGGATGAACTCAACTATCTTATCAACCACTCTCTTTAAATCAGATGGAGGCTCCACAACAGGCAATTCAACCTTTAATGTGGTTGGCAAAGAAGAAGCTCGCGATTTCTCAATAGCAGAGGCATCACTTTCTTTCTTCACCCCAACTGTAGTTCCAGCCTTAACTGTTGTTATTGAACGATTTCGTTTTATCAGCGAAGCCTTTTCCCTAGTTAAAGGAGCTGAATCCTTTGTTACTGTCTCATCTTTCCCGTTTACACTTGAAGAAAATTCTTTCTGTTCTGGTCCATTAGATAATGTTTCATTAATAGCAACCCCAGCTTCCACAGATTCCTTTCTTTTAACTTCACTAGCATTCGCAGTTGCACCTTCCTCATCTTCTCCAGAACCATATATAGTACCAAGCAAAGATAACGCACCACCTCCTCTAACACTAGCCGCGTGATCAAGTGCACTATCAGCTTTGCTCTCCTCATTGACAGAGTTGCTGCTCAAAAGTTCTTGGTGATCAACAAGAAATCTAAAGTATGTGTGAAGAGGATGATCAGGCATCAAGAAGCCAAATGTTGGGTTGTCTCCCTGTTTAACCCTCAAAACAATCTCTGATTGTCCACCATGTCTGCTCACAAACATAGCTGTCCTTGCCATAATCTGGTGTACTTTCTCTGTAGGAGGCTGAAGAAAAGCCAGAAAAAGAAAAAAGTTTCCACGTCAATAATGAGAATTTAACAATTGCAAAGTCCCAAGAGTGATTAGAAACTTACTAATAATCCCAGCGTATTAAATGAAAATAGAAAACCACAGAATCTCACATATATTTAGATAAGCACAAAGATCAAGAAACAGAACTTCTAGGAAGATATGTATCATCCCATTTGCTCTCAAGTGAATAAGATTCCTGAAAAGTAACGAATTTCTATCATCCTAATCCCACCTGCATGCCCCCTTGTCATGACATCAAAAGGAAACAAGAACTGCATCTGCGCTCCGAGCATCTGAAACTTAGACATTGTAAGCCTTAGAATACCACATGCACCTTACTCAACTATCACGCAGCCACATTTGATAAGTATCAACAAACAATTACATCTAGATTATACAAAAGAAGTAAAGATATATTGTAAGAAGACGAGCATCTACTTACTAGGCTTTGAAGTAAGCTTTCAGGCACAGGAAAGGATGGCCGAAAACTAGACTCTGCATCAGTATCCTTTTGCTCATTGGAATCACCAGTGTTTCCATATGAAAAGGGAACAACATTATAGACTCCACCAGCAGTCACAGGTTCCTCATCATTATCTCTATCTGGAAGCAAAATAAACCAGAATCAAAATCATTTCTATGAACAGCCATTACACAATTATGGTTTTAAAAACACATAGCAAACGGCATCAACAGCCAACCCAAAGTTGAGATACGCTAGATAAGGTAGTAACATTCTTACTTGTCTCTCTGAAACACGAAACTGTTGCAAACTAGATTCGTTCCTGCAAACTTGGAAAAGCAGTACAAAATATATAATGTGCATGCAAACTAGAAAGTGAATCACCCATTGCTCAGCACAATACTGTCTTCAAAAGAAACAACAGAGAAAAAAAATTCAAAATTTTTCCATAAGAAAAATGCAAACAGCGACAACAGCAAACTGACAAAGCCTAACAATTCATGCAATGGGAAAGCAACAACAGTAAGTCAGCTTACAACCCTCACTAAGCATCTATTTAAGCTTAGAACCCTATAGCCAATTAATTCAGCTTTCCACAACATAGACAAGAAAGCAACATTAGTTCCTCTAGCAGGGTAACTTAAAGCATACGGTTCTATAGATGTCCCCATTTTGTTAAAACAAGCTCTCAATCAAATATAAGATTCAAGTTCATCTGTTTCGTTACAGATATTTTCCAACAATGCTCAAGCACAATACCCTCCATAGTGACAAGTATCAAAGAACTAAACAAGCAAAGATTCCACCCTGCTCATAATTTACAACAACAGTAATATAAGGCTCTTTTTCCTTTTTACTAACATCCTTAGGTAACTAAAGATAAATAAAATTCAATCTAACAAAAGTTAAGGCTCCGTTTGGTTGCCACTCTTATTAACGTGCTTTTGCGTTATTGCATCAGGTTAAAAGTGAGCTGACAGCTATAAAGTACCAGAAAAGGTTAAATTTTTAATTTTATTATCCAAATGAAGCCTAAAGATTGCAATAATAACAATAATACATTTTTTAATTACCAAAAATAGGAAAAAAAATTAAATCTCATAAAAATTGCAGAATTAGAGTTCATATTGACAATTAAAAGTAGAAGCGATGAAATAATTGCATAAATTAAATAGTAACTTAACTTCTTTTAAAAAGAGGTAACTTTGTATCGTTTCTCACCTTGCTGATCGGACGGCGAGGGAGAGGGAGGAGGCAAATCGAGGTAACGTTCGCGATCGAGCTCGGACTCTAAGTTATCATCGGCGGTTTGCGTCGGAGAGGAAGGATGGCGCCGTTTCTTTCGTGGCGGAGGAGGTCCGGAGAGGAGGTGACGTACGTCGTATCGATCGATGGAGAGGGAGTTCCAGTCGACAAGAGCCGCCGCGGAGTTGACAAACGACGCCATGGCGTCATCGTCGAAGAGCAGAGCGTGGCGGCCCACAACCTCTAGATCCATCGGGGATCCCGATAGAAATTTGTTCTGGACCGTTGGATTTAGAGAAGGGAAGAGAGGAAGAGCGATTAGGGATCTTGCTTCTGCACAAGGGTTTTTGCTTCTTTCTTGTTTGAGCCCAAAAAGCAATGGTTAAAGCAGAAGCTTGTTAATATTTTGCAATGATGCCCTTTTGTTTGTCGCATATATTACTTTTCTCCTTGGAGCTTTCTTCCTTCCTCCTTTCTCCTTTGCGAAATAAAGAAACTAAAATTTTCTTTATTTGCCTTTTACTTTCAAAAAGAAAAAATGTCTGAATATAAAAATTAATAATACCAGATTTAAGATAAATAATTCATTGTAATTTTCTTTATTTTAAAGATAAGTGAAAAATATATTTTTTTCGAATGTTGGAAATGTTTATTGCTACTAATATTTAATTAGTTTATGCAATTATAATTAATAAATGGATTTAAAAATTCAAAATCAGTAAAAATAAATATTCATACTTTCTAAAATATTTATTTTATGTAACATCTTGAATTGATTAGATAATAATAATAATATATATATATATATACTAACAATACATCAAATATAAATCTTTATTTAATTTTAGTCACTCGAAATGCAGCCCAAATTGTAAGAGAGAGTTTACACTAAGAAACACGACCGAGCTACAAGCCATACAATAACTTTTCTTTGAAGAACTGTTCTGAATCTAACAATCAAAGAATGCAAAGAGTATTTCCTGGAGCTATTTACCCGTACCCGTTCCAAACCCAAATATAAGGTATCTATACCTTATAGAATCGAGTCAGATACCTATGAATACCCAGTTAAAAGCTACACATTGCTACCCCTTCGATGAACACTTTTTTACAATAGATGGTGATAGCCGGTGAGACAGCAGCAATACGGAAGTTCTTGTCCAGAAAACTGATGGTGGACATGAGATGCTTGTCATTAGGACTCAAACACAATTTCGCAGTTTCTATCAGTTTCGAGCAGATGGGCAATACATGTTCGTTTAGCTGCAAGAATAAAAGAAAACATGAAGCAGTGTATCGTGCCTTGCGTACACCAACATTGAACGCGAAATAAGAATTTTCTTTGATTTCTATGAGGTCAAGCTAAGATTAGGGTAGAGGAACCTACCTTGAAAGATGATGCTATGCAGTTGCAAGCTTCGAGTGACATGCTTCCCCGGGCAGCCTTCCAGCATAACAAGTCAGCCATGGAAAAGAGAAAAAAAGTTCAATGCATTAAAACCCAGTAATTTTTCGAAAACATATTTACCCGGGAAGGCTCTTGTTCGATGACGCCAACAAGGTTTTGAAGGACAGACTCAGTCAATGAGAGAAGTTCATGAACGTAAGATGAATCGCCGAAGAATAACAAATCATTGCCCAGAATCTGCAAAAATAAAAGAATGATATAGTCTTATTAGAAATCAATTTGACAACTATGTTTTTTCTTCTGACCGATTCATACAAAGGTTTCGATGTTTGGGAATTTTGAAAACCTGAAACCCTTTAAATAAAAGATAAGTCGAGGGACCTCTGGATGAACTGCATGATATGGGAGCCTCCCTTGAGAAAGTGTAGCTGATAAAGAAACTATTGCACAGAATATTCTTGTCTTCATACTTGGTGACCTACAAAATGCCAAAGAACATTAGATAAAAGAACAAATGATACTGAAAAGAATATTTGTTTGTCAGGAAATTTTTTAGCATTTAAGACGTAATGGAAGGGCTTACCATGACCGGGAATGAATGAGTGATAATATGCTCTTCGGAATATGCAAAATTCCTACTTCAGGATTACCTAAATAAGTAAAAATAATCAGACAAAATCCATTTACTAAAGTAATGTTCTAGTTGAAATTAATACTATTAATAGAATGTTCAGTAAAAAATAAATCAATGAATGACCTGGAACCATAACCAGGAGGCTGCATAATTTCCGAATGAAGGAAAGTATCCCATCAGAATCAACTGCCACTCGAGAGCCTATTAAAGAGGAAATACAACATCACTAATGAATTACATAAATTTCAAATGATTAATATATCAAAAGTGAAAAGACTAGCAACTAGAAGTGGTCTAAATGAGAAAGAAGATGATTTCTTTTCATAAAGAGAAAAGGCACAAAATCAGCAAGTTAGATCGAAAGAATGCTGAAAAATTACCTTCCATCCAGTCAAAACTCTGTAAACAGCTGATTGCTGAATCTATCAGTCCATCACAATGAGAAACAAAACCACCTAACAATGCAACCTAATATACAGCCATATGAAGGAGCTCAGATTCATAGTTAAGTCGACTATTACATATTTTATTACAGAAAGGGAACCTTACCTCAGCAGTCTCAAGATAAAGATGTAATTGCTTGATGTGGCCCAAAATAGAAGGAATTGTGACTTCACTAAACGCTATGCAAGACTTTACAAAACTGAGATGCTTTTTCCCGTCTTTCAGAGCTTTAGTAGCTAAACAATTACTAGAGTGAACAAGAAATTCCTGCAAGAATTAGTGGAAAATCAAATGCTGAATAAAGCCCAAGAAAAGATTCTTGAAATCAAAGAGAATCTGCTTTACTAATGAAATAATGGAATAATGTTTTAACAAATACATGAACAAGTAGTAACTATTTCTATACATTAAACACAAGAATCACAGCCAATGCCATGACAACGTTCTAGCTCCCCATCTGAGGAAAACCAGTGCAACGGTTTTTGTTCTCTAATATTCTTCGATTGAGTTGTTTAAAATTAGCTGACTGCTGCTACAACTACTTGTCAATCTCATGTGCCATATTCTCCAGATAAGTAAGTTTGGATGAACAAACAGATTCACCGTGAATCCTTCGACCACGCATTACCTCTATTACTCAAATGATTAACAAAATCAAATCAGAAATAGAAATATAACTGTATACCTTAAGTTCAATTATGCTGCCAAAGGCCCCACGACATTCCACAAGAAACGCTAAATGTCCTTCATACTCTGCTCCATGGTCTACCTAGAAGTAGAGCAATGGCAATGTCAAAAAATCACATTGATAGTCAAGAGTAACTAACAACCTACAACAACGTAACAGGTAAGAAAACCAAAAACACACCATACGGACAAAACGGGAAATTAGCCGTGCTTGCTGTTGGTTATCGTCATTTTTCATGTTTGCAAGATCAGTATCATCATGTAAAGCCTGTGAAATTTCAAAAAGTAACTGTATGGTTGTTGGATCACGTACATAACCATTCCTGCCAAACAAAACAAGCATAAATACAACTCAATCTGGATGAGAGACTAATTCTTCAGACACAATACAAATATGGTTCACCAATAAAGAAAAGGAAAAAGAATACAGATCACAAACTACAAGCAAGTTAACAGATATCAACAGAATATACTCATTAATGAGGTTTTCAAAATCTTGTTTAGTTGTTAAAAACTACTATGACACCTACACAAGTAACACAATCATGAAACTTCAAAGTTTAGACAACCCCCACACTGACAAACTTATTTTATGCCATTGGACTGCTTTGAACTTCAAACCTAAACCAATGTAGCCTGCAGGTCACACCTAGCTATACCACAGAGCCACCTAATTGGACTGCTTTGAATGTCACATTATGAGAGAAATAACGATTGTTAATACCTGTGAAATAAAGATGATATTTCAAAAGCTTTGCATTCTGGCAAAATAGAAAACTCAAGTTACTTCATGTACATATGACCCTGTGCTGAGTGCTGATGCAATTCTTAACAAACAATGTAGCCATTGCATGTGCTCAGCAGCTCAAATTAACAAACAAAAATATTCAGGTGAGTTCTCAGGCACACATGCTTAGCTACCTTGGTTTTCACTACAATATTATGTTACAAGTCAATAGCAGATGAAAACCAGTCCAATAGTCCTACACTGACAGTGACTAGCCACAGATTACGATGGCATCAAGGCAAGTGAGGGATAGCCCATGACAGTAATAAACAGCAACAAAAAGACAAGGCCTTAACTACATTAATTAGGATCAGAAGACAAACTATACCTTGTAGCCATATCAAGTATATGCATATTGACAATGCTACGAGAGCTCCCATGCATCAAATCTAAGATCTGAAGAAAATGGTTCTACAAAATAACAAATTGCAGCCACTGTTCCATTAGTGACGTGATAATGTAGTTCTGTAATTGAGCCAAGTTATGCTACACAAACATAGAACTAAAGTATTAAGGGAGGGCTGATGGAAGGGAAGGGGAAGGGGAACAAGCCAAGGTTGAAGAATATCTAATGTAGAAATCTGTTCAGAAGATTACCAAAGAAAACACATTTTCCAAGTCCTTAAAATGAGAAAGAAGCTTCACCAAGATGGATTGCAAGCCTGCTAGTTCATCTTCGGCAATTACTTTATCACATGCTAACTTTAAAATCCCTTCCAAAATAGTCCTTAGTTGGCCATCCTGGCATAATCAATGGATTGGGAGAGAATAGATAAATTATAACAAATGAATGCCAAAACTAAAACTGTTTAAAACAGGGAAAGAAACGATACAGGCTAGCACATATAATACAAGTCCAAGTCACACACCACTTACGTGAAGTATTTCTAATATGGTTCTGCTACAACTGATGATTTACATCTATCATGAAAAGTGAAATTGGTAATTCCATTTCCCTTTCGATTATCTAGCCAGAAATGGAATTTTTTGCACATAACTCATATTCTAGTGCATACCCATCTATTTTGCCCTTAACTTTGAATGATGCAACAGAAAAGTGAAATGAAGATTCATATTTTTCTAGGACGTACAGCATTGGAAAATTATCTTTAAATTCGTAATGTGCTGAGAACTTTTGCAACCATTCGACACAAAACCG